ATGAGACTAATATTGCCGAAGACTTGAGAATGATGAAGTTGTGGTGTTAACCGTATTTGATACTGTATCCAAGCCTGATGAGGAATTGATTTTGGATTCAGCTTGTTCGTATCATATGTGTCCCAATCGGGACTTGTTTGAAGCATATGAGGCAGTGACGCAAGGTGGAGTTGTCATGGGAAACAACCAATCTTGCAGGATAGCTGGAGTTAGGAAAATCAGATTAAGGTTATTGGATGGGACAGTTAGAACACTTGGTCAGTTTCGACATGTTCCAGACTTAGGTCAGAACCTCACTTCATTGAATACCCTAGATTCAAAGGGATACACGTTCTCTGGTGGAGGTGGAGTCTTGAAGGTTCATAGTGGTGCTCAGGAGGTACTTGAGGGACGAAAAAAGTCTCAATTGTACATCTTGCAATGGCGTACATAACCAGTTAGAAGACATTTGGACAGGTTTCGTACTGTGGTGGATATTCCTTTTGGTACGGTACCGTTCAGTTTTGCCTCTGAGTCGAATTTGGTGAACACCACTCATGAGAGTTTGGTTGATATGGGCAATCCCGCTTTGCCACCAGTTTCAGCGGTTCCATCGTGTTCTATTGCTAGGGAAAGACTCTGTTAGAATTGATACCACTTGTTGTGACACCAATCACCGGATTAAAATGTTGAAGTTATATAGCAAAGTAATAAAGTGTTTAATCAAGAACAAAAGAATAAATGAAGACAAGAATATGACAAAAGAATTAAGAGATTTTATTGCACCAAGAATAATGAAGAAAAGAGAAAAATATTACAATGATCCTATAATTCTAGTAATCTATTTTCTCACATGTAATTGTATTACTAACTTGTAAAAGAGCCAAGTATTTTAAAAGGGAAAAATCTCGAAACAGGTTGTTGTAGCTGCGCTCTGGCGCTAGGTTTCGGGTTAATATTCCAAAACATGCTTTCAAAGTGTTTCTCTACATTCCAAACTCTTCTTCGAGTCTAATATCAATTTTCAATTCCCAATGGACTTCTAAAATAGAACTTCAACTTGATATAGGACTCCAATAATATTTCAAAATTGAATTCTTATTGATTTTCACTACAATTAAAATTCTTCAAT